AGCATCATATTTTTATGCCACTCTCTTTACAAACTTACCTTTTCATTTTTTTTGTCTGCCTCCCGCGGCTGCTTTGCGGTCACACTTCGAGGAGTTCGAACAACTTCATCCTCAGCCACTTCAACAGTCCGTCCATTTGGCTACATGGGCAACAAGAAAGCATCATGTTATCAAGCTGGCTGGCAGATCAAGCCAGATTTACACTCAGGAGACAGTATATGAATCAAATTCTACCCCCGATGGACACTAACAAGGTTGTTTTTATATAACAGTATTATCTAAGACTTGATGGACTGACCTAAGTAACAGTGTTTTGTGATAAAAAAATAATGAACTATAAACAAAATTCTGTACCACAAATATTCTGATCTCACCCAGGTATCAGGCTTTTTAACAAGGACAACAGAATAAAGGCAGGTGAAAGGACATCTGAACTGTATTTGTACTATGACTACCAACTAGCTATGTAGTCTCAGATCTTTTCGCTATCTCAAGTCTTATTTCTACATTTGTAAAATGATAGGTTTGACATACGGGTGTTCAAGAGTCAGCAAACTTTTTTTTGTAAAGGGCCAGGGAGAAAATATTTTAAGCATGCTGGGTCATATATCCTCTACTGCAACTACATAACTCTTCCATTGTAGCACAAGAGCAGCATGGATGATACACACAAGTGAATGTTAATGATTTCTAATGTTGTTTCTAATTCTATAATTTAGGGGCTCCACTATTCTGAGATTAAGAAGTTTTATCAATCATTGCCACAACCTGAAAAGGCTATCTCTGCTTTCCTAACATTCCCCAAATGATAGATTGTGCTTAGAAGTGCTCACGGGTAGAATCAATTCTGTGATCCCCAAATCAAGCTTTTTTTTGGGGGGGGGTACCGGGGATCAAACTCTGGTCCTTATGCTTGCGCAGCAGGCGGCGAAACCACTGAGCTAAATCCCCGGCCCCCAAAATCAAGCTTTTAAGTTTCAGAATCATTTAAGTAAACATTTCTCCTGTCAACACAATTGGATACAGACTGAGGCATTTGAATAGTGCCCAAGTATCCACAAATAACCTTCTTTTTGAACTCTATCATTTTCCACTTGTGCATTCCTCTCATATTCAACACAATAAAATCAATATATCATGTACTAGTTTCAAAGCTTTATTTCCAGTTCTTGCACCTCTACCAGACTCATAGTGCAGCTACAGGTAAGAAAACAATCAATGTTCAAGGTTTCTATAAGTGACTTAATTTGCATTTATTAAATGATCAGTGTGTGGTGGCGGACGCCTGTAATCCTAGTACTCAGGAGGCTGAGGCAGGAGGACTGCCATGAGTTTGAAACCAGTCTGGGCTACATAGTGAATCTGTGACCTGCCTGAACTACACAGTGAGAGACCCTATCTAAAAAGAAAAGAAAAAAAGCAAAAGCCATGTTAAAAATGATCAGAAAGGGCTGGGGATCTGGCTCAGCGGTTCTGCCGCCTGCCTCGCAAGCACAAGGACTGGAGTTTGATCCCCAGTACAAAAGAAAAAAAAAAAAATCAGAAAAATGCAGTTGGAAAAAGAGACCATTTATGTTCTAAAACTCAAATTGTAAGCTTTCCAAAGATTTGTGGCAGAAAATCAAAACAAAAGCTGTCTTTTAGCTGATTAAATTTCTAATTTATCAAAATGTAATCTTCTGAAGTCTTAAGCAACTTGTTAGACAGCTAATGCCAAATCAGGTTTCCTTACTCTTGGGTTTCCTTTCTTCTGTGCTGTTTTGTCACTTCGGTGCTGCCTCTTCTAATCTTTCTGTGTATGTGTATGTCCATGGGGGCTGGGTAGGAGACAGTGAATAGAGAAAGGTAAGAAATCTCAGGAAGGCAAGTGGACTTAGGGGTAGATATATATCAGGAAAGTAAAATTTTTTTTCCACTTTCCAATATTACCATCTTGTCTATTTTCATGCCAGTTCTTCTCCTTCCCTCTTCTTTCCTTCGTATCTCTCCCATTTCTACATAAGCAGCTCACAAAGTTTACATCTACAAAACTACACTTCAGGGAACTTTCTATCATGGTCACCAAGTAAAAATGAAAAAGTATTTCAAACAAATATCAACTCTGAAATCCTCAACTAGTGACAACACTGGTCTGATAGATTTGGGAACATTCAGTTCCATTTCATAGGCTGAAATGATCCACAAACTAAGGGTGTTCACGCGCTCCTACCTGGGGCAATTTTAGTTCCTTTTTTATAGTATCTGTAACTGTGGCTGTTTTCCCTGACCGATTGCAGATCTCTCAATTTTCTAAGCCTTGGGATTTATATAGCTCTCATCATTACTAGGATTCCAGATGTTATTAAGAACTCCCCCCACACACCTGTATCATGAAACAATAAGCCGCCTATCTGAATAATAAAATCAATGGAATTCTTGGGTACCAGAAACAGGATACACTATGGTGGCTGCCTTATCTAACAGCAGTAACAAGCTGTCTTTTTCTACCACCAATAGCTATTCCAGAAGACCCTATCTTGAAAATTAACCACATTTAAATTAGCAACTCCCTATATGGGAACATATTATACATACAGATTCACTCATATGTACAATAAGTAACTGCAAACACCAAATCTAAAGTGCCTTCCTTGTGATTGTCGATTATGAGTTTTTAAGGAAAATAATGGCTTTTCTGATTATGGCACTTGCCTATAATCCCAGCATTTGGGAGGCTGAGGCAGGACTGCTGTCAATTTGATGCCAGCCTGGGCTACATAGTTGAGTTTAAGGCCAGCCTGAACTACATAGAAAGACCCTGCCTCAAAAAACAAAAAACAAAAACCCCCTACAGATTAGCAATTACATAAGCCTCTCATAACCCAGTTTTAAATTCTTAGAGAGCTCTGAAGTACTCCTCTTCAAAACCAAAGTTAATTTCATGTACAGTATACAATCTATAAATTACTAAAGATGCCTTTCAAATTTCATAAAAATCAATCAGTAACAGAAAAAATGATATAATCATTTCATTTACATGGATAAACTACACAGAGGCATCACTAGATCTATCTTATTTTAAAAGGGAAAACCCTGGGTCCCTTCTAAAAAACGCATGCGCAGAAGAACTGTGTGTTGGCAGGGGTGGTAGTAAACCAAGAGTGAGAATACCTACTGACAACCAGAATGAAATGCAAGACGGGCCACACAGCAGGAGAGCTGGAGCTTATTTTCTGACTCTTCATTTTAAGGAAATAAAATTGCTCATGTGAGTCAATCTTTAATTTATTAATTCCACACAATTTCATAAACATTTATTAAATACCAGGCACTGGGGTAGGGACTGTGGAAACAAAGACATATGAAAGGAATCTGCCCTTGAAGAGTTCAAAGCAGTGATGACGAACCCTTGAGAGCGTTCAATGATAACAGCCTGCTGCGGCACATGTGCAGTAGGTTCACCACCACTGGTTCAGAACAAAATAAGAAGGTATCCTTAACAATAAATTCCTACTTCATTTGAGGAGCCTTTACTTGTTAAACAAACTCTAAATTGCAAAAGAATCTGCATCTGAGATAAGCATTTATAAAGTTTAACATCTGATTTCTAGGATGAAACCATTTAAAACCCTATTTTCATTTAGTTACATACATTTTGTTCCTAGCTAGCAAAATGTAAAGATTTTAACTTCAAATTAAAAAAAATTAATTGGAAACCTGTCAGGTTTAAAACTAGGAGGGTAACTTACCAATTACCAAAAAATGGAGTATGAAAAGACCGTGAGTTTTGGAATTGGGCAAACTTGAGGCTAAGGTCCAACATCCATAGTTAATCACTGTGATTTTAAGGATTTTCCTACTCACCCTTTGACTTCATCATCTGTAAACATGAGAAAACTGTTTGTCTTTTGGCTATCTTGACAAAATACACTAAATGAGAGACCAGGTGAAAGCATATTTGCTTGAGAAATATTTTCTTCTAGTATTTTTCTGAAATTATGATGGTCCATCCCCTCTAACCCCATGTTCAAACATTAAGGTCACTTTTATAGCACGCTCATAAATATTAAGTCAGGGCCCAGATGTGCATTTATCAGGCACAATGCTTCAGACACAAATTATGCCGGGAAGATAACAGATTATGAAAGATAAGTACATACATCCTCTCAGAGGGTAAAAATAGTCCAGACTTGCTCTAGAGACAGTGCTGTTATCATTCTTTAAACAAAACAAAATCTAAGAAAACTGCATATTCACCATGCATTTATTCACTCAATGGTCAGTAAGTAAACATAGTAATGTGTAGAACCCTTAAAACCTTGAAACAAAAAAAAGGTAAGGCATAATCTCTGCCCTCAAACTTAGAATCTAGCAAAAGAAGGCAAGTATAAAATAGCAATCCTAATCTGCCTCGCAAGTGCAAGGTCCTGAGTTTGATCCCCGGTAGAAAAAAACAAAAAACAAAACAAAATAAACAAATAAAACAGCAATCTTAAAATACAAGACAAAAGGTGTTTTCTCCCCTCTCCTCTCTTTAAACAGTATGAGTTTTTGTTTTTGTTTTTTGTACTGGAGATTGAACTCGGGACCTTGTGCTTGTGAGGCAGGCGCAGCACCACTGAGCTAAACCCCTGGTCCTAACGGTATAAGTTTTGAAGGCAAGTTTAGAGACCAAGATTAAAATCCCAAATGTGTTAACCTGGACAAGTTAACATTTCTTTAAGAGTCCCAATCTGCTTAGCTGAAAGTTATATTGAGCGTACAGGAGGTGCGTAAGTTATAGACACTTTACGTTTATCACAAAAAGATAAAAGGTAAGGCCTTATGAACAATCAGAAGCAGCACCATCTTCAGCTGACAGGCTGGGCTATAAGGTGAGCCTAACAATAGCTGTTAATCTGGGAGTTTGTGCCACGCACACCTGTCAGATGCTTCACACACATTACCTAACAAATGGGCAAGACCTAGTCTTGGCCAATTTCTTTGTTTCAGTTGTGAAGAGCTCTGATACAAATTCCAGGCAGAACTTCTTGTCACTTTGTCTGAAAGCACAATTTTTCCCCTGCCAGATATTTTGTACATTATCAACTACATAAACCTTAGCTTCAGACATAGTCATTTACCTATTTTAAAATTCAACTCCAATTTTAATCTTTTTGTA